AGGCGAATACAAAATTTGGCGCTCATTAGTTTTATTGCCTTATTGTTACAAGTCATTCGAAGCTTCCAAATTCTTCTCTGCCCGAATGACGAGTAATACAACGCTAGAACGACGCGAACGGTCTGAATGAAAAGAGACTTCTCGCGATGGTGCGATAAAATTTTATTGTCTATCGCCGCGATCTGCTCGCCGATAGTGAGATAAGGACTGATAGAGAACGATTGTCAGTCTTTATCTAACTCTTAACTCATTCATAGACATAGAACGGAAAAGAACTCAACGCTATCTATTATCCAAAGAAAAGATTTATCGCTATTATGGTTTCTCAATTTTTCTTACTTTGTTTCACGATTACATAGACACATATTACATACCAGGTGTAGAAGTTTGAAACCGGAATTTTTTTGTAAAAATTACACGTCTGTTGTTTGAAAACGATAAAAAATATTTTATTCAAAATAATGTTCATTGCTATTTATACATTTTTGACTTCATCAAGTAATGCCTCCAATTCTTTGTCTTCGAATTTTTTTGGCTGTGTAGAGCGAGGCTTGTCTTCAGCGCTGAAATCACCATTCTTGAAACGTCGAAACCATTCCCTACATGATTTATCAATTGGAACATTGTCACCATAAACTTCTACAAGCATTCGATGCGCTTCAGCTGCACTTTTCTTCCAATTAAAGCAGAAAACTAAAACCTCCCGCAAATGCTGCTTAGTTAACGCAAAATTTGACATATTCAACACAGTATAAAACAGGGGTTTTGTATGAAACTCAAAGCAATATAAACTGAATATTATTGACAGATGTCTAACCTCTTTGAAACCACCGAAATCAGCTGTCACTATGAAACATTCATAACAGCCAGAGCCATCTTTTGAAAACGGACCGAACTAATTTGTATTCCCAATATAAACACAAGAAATTTCGGTAATTATATATGTTAAGGGACACCTCGCCGAATAACTTTGACCTTCACATATGTGATAGAGATCATCCTCCTGAGCAACTTCAGAAGGTTTTAGACGGCAGTCATCGTTTATTAAAAAGATATTAACAAAAAAAAACGGAAATACATATATCCACTTACATATATCCACTTACATTGACCAAAGTTTAGAACCTTTCTGCTGGACCATCAATTAGAAATTCAGTTTATAAACGGGCGGGCTCCGATAGCCCACATAAGTAATTGGCTAATTTAATATAAAATTCTCTAATAGGTGGTCCAATGAAAAGACTTTAGGCCCCGGTCAATGTGAGTGAATACGTATTTCTGTTCTTTTGTTAATATCGTTTTAATAAACAATGAGCGACGGCTGCGATTTTTTGCATATTACTCAGAAATGTGTCCTTGATAACATATGTCAAAGTCAAAACAATCAGAGCTATCTCCCCTATTGTGAACTTTTACCGAGAAATTTTGTCGAAACAAGTAAGTGAATGCTTGTTTCCTAATTAGTAATATTAGTATGCAAAAATAGCTATCATGCACAAAATGTTATGTCGTAGAAACTCGTTTTTCGTTATCTTATCCTCTAAGTCTTTATTCCAAGCCATTAAACCCAAGAATGTGTGTTATCGGGTCGAGGCGACCTTCGTATTTTACACTGAGAAATATTAGAAAATAAATATCTATAATCAGTCGTAACAATGATCGTAATAATCATTATAATGGAGTCAATATGATCGTGCTAACTGCTTCTCACTAGAAGATAATACGTGTAACTCAGTATTTCTATTTTATTTTGATATTGTCTATTTTAAATTAATTCGGAGTAGATTTGAGAAAAAAAACATTAAAGTTTCTATTTGAAATATTTTCAGAAGCTGAAATATCCAAAGGCAGTAATTTTCATCGTCAGCAATGAATTTTGCGAAAGGTTTTCCTTCTACGGGATACGCAGTGAGTAAATAAATTGTTAAAGTCAATCTAACATATAATTATTAACGCCAATCATATTTCCACTGACATCTATGTGACTGAAGAATAGTGCTCTGCGATAATTAGACCTATTGTTTCCTTAATTCTTATACAACTCTGTTTGAAATTGGTGCGATTTTAAATCGACGACACAGAAATAAATTTGTTTTGCTGTTCACGAATGCATTTAATTGGAAGTCGGCTTGCAGTCAGCTAAATCGACCCCTTATTCTAATTTATTTTATTATTATTTTTATTCTAATTGTGAAATCATCATAGCAAGATCGTCGGATTTCCGACGATGTCCAGATGTCCTAAAAATGTCCATAGGACGTCCACAAACGTTTATGAGACATCGTGTGCTATTTAAAATAACTGTTTCAACTGTTGTAGATAACATTCGTTATATTGGGTACACAAGTTAATTCACCTTTTATTTTTAAGAAGGTATTCTAGTCTAGCGGGTCTAAAAAATCGATTTCTTTGTATATTTTGCAAGTATTTGGTCTGGAAAATATGTTTGCAAAAAGACTTAGCCCAATTCGCAAAATAAACAAAGTTATAACCTGATTAAGTTAGGTAGGGAGCGGTCCCCGACGCGTATTCGACGCTCGGGCCGCGCGGCGCATAATAGAATATTGTAATTATATGTTGGCTAAGATTCAGAAGACCATTATTCTTGAAAGATCGTACATTTGAATTAGGGTTTTTCTAAAGTACGATCGATTTTTACCTGCTTGTGAAAGAGCATTTTTGGTTTCTCGGCTCAGAATACAGTATGGTTTTGAACGTTGAGGCGAACGGACGCAAGCAGAGTTATTCGTTTATTTACACGCTAAAAAATATGTCGATGGTTGGCCTGGTTCGCAAATGGTTTTTTGACGTTTGGGGTTATCGAAATAGATTCACTTTTCATCGCCAGTCACAATTTGATGTAAAAACCCCTTTCTTTTTTGTCTGACAAGCAGCATTTCGGTAGTGGTTTTTCGTTTTTCGATGTCTCTTTCTTTCAGTTCATATGGCACCCATCTTCCTTTCTTGTATACCTTTCCTATGGCTTTTAAACGCTTGGAAATGGCTGCTTGAGTAACATTCAACGTTTCTGCAAGTTGATTTTGTGTTTGACATGGATCTTCATCCACCAATGCTTGCATTCTATATCTTCGAATTTTTTTGCTGGCCTGGACGTTCTTTATCATTCGTGTCAAAATCACCAAGTTTGAATCGTCGAAACCATTACTTGCAAGTTGTTTCCAATAGAACAATTTCTTTATAAGCTTCAACAAGCATTTGATAAGATTCAGCAGCAGTTTTCTTCAAATTGAAACTGAAAAGCAAAGCTTTGCGTAAATGATGCTTATTTGGTTGAAATTCAGACATTTTCTTCGCAGTAAAAAACTATGTTGTTGTCACAAACATAAACTTTTATATACTGAATATTGCTGATATATATCAAAACTAAAAATGATGCCTTGTTCAGCCATTACAGTTGACAATTGTCAAAGCTAAAGCTATTTATGGTTAGAGGGCGGGTTTCAAGTTGTAAACCTAATATTTTATTTTATTCATAATTAATATTTTGTAAGAGTTGGTGCAGCTTTTCGACGTCTTTATGTGATATAACATTAAAAATAATTTTAGTATTCATCTTCAAAAACAAATATAGGAAGATCATACATAAAACATCGTAAATATTTTTGAAATTATATATTTAATTTTCATATATTTAATTTTCTTGCCAGTGTAAATCGTTCATAACAAACACTTTATTTCATTTATTAAACTTATTACTGTAAAATTCATTTATTAAAATTTATTAATGTTTATTATGCAAAAGAGAACTACTTAGAGCAAAACTAATTTAACTAAAAAAGAATAAATTAAGGAACAAAGCATAAATTAGAGCAAAACTTATTTAACTAAAAAGAATAAATTAAAGAATTTACGCGAACGCAGTATATCTATAAAATACAAATTGCCGTCCCGAAAAATAGATGCATCACGTTGAAGCTATAATAATACTGACAGAGGAGATTAAGAGGGAAGGATACATGGAAGAGCGTGATTAACCCATTTATTGTTTGATTGCAGTACTATCTCGATTGTTAAAAGTATCTCACAGATATTGCAACCGACGGAGTGTTAAATTTGTTATTTTGTGTTAAAGAAAATCCAGACGATTAAAATCAAAACATTCATTTCTTGATTGTAAACACATTCTTTTTCTTCATTAAAGTAGACTAAGGCGAATCAGATCATAAAACGACTCAGATCAATATACTCGCACATCAAAATATATCAGAGATATAATCAGATATCTTTATATTTGCAATTTTTAATTGTATCTGAGATATTTTATTTTCAGATATCCACAGTATACCTGCAATACATTATTACTCGATATCATTTTTTATAAAAAAGATTTCAACATTTAGCTGATATTAAAATCTTACAAGCTTTCAAATATCTTCGCAATATCGTAATGATTAGATATTTAGGCCTATATTAATAGTCTATACTAACGATGATTAGATATTTAGGTCTATATTAATAGTCTATACTAATTGGGTCTTATACTCAAGATTGTCCCAAGTTCATCTTTAGATATTTCACAACCAAAAAAAATGAGCCATATAGCATTTGGAAATAAATTCAAAACGGTTTTTTATATAAGATCTGACTGTTAATACGGATCTTATACATTTAGATATTTTCTAGATATTCGTATGATATATTTTGCTATATGGGAAGATCTGAGACAGTTGTTAGTTTTTTGTTTCAAACAAACTATTTTAGTGTTTTATAATGTGTTAGTTATTCCACGCGCTTTCTCTGCATTTGTTTGAAACAATAAACTAATAACAACTATCTCAAAGTTTATATTGATCCAATTCGCCATGTGATCCGATTTTACATCATCATTAGTTACATCATTAGTTTACCCTAAATATTTATCTCTCCAATAACAACTTTTGGTTCTTGCTTTTTATTTTTCCTTAATTATATATCTTGAGAGCCTTTGTGTGTTATATTCGCTAGACAGACATATGAATTGATCCACATATACTTTTTAGCCGTCCTGTCGCTGTATTTAAAGAACATATTGAAATACAGCGTGAATACGTCCACCGTGATCTACCATGTTTTCACTATGTTTGTCTACTTCTTCCCACTGTTCGGCGCGATCCTGGCAGATTCGTGGCTCGGAAAATTCCGCACTATCTTTTATGTGAGCATTATTTATGCAATCGGACAATTGCTCTTAGCCATGAGTGCGGCACCCACATTAATAGGACTACCTCCAAGGTTGGTACAAAGCGATTGAAGTAACCGCAACAGCAAAGTATTGAAAATTGACGCATTGCGAGACATCTTACACAGCAAAATATATAAAAGATATAATCGGATATTTTTATTTCTGCAATTTTTAATTATATTTAAGATATCTTCAGATATTTGCAAAATATCTGTAATAAATTATTACTCAATATCACATTTTTTTCTTTAAAAAGGATATACCTCTGCAACATTTACATACGACTATGGTCAATATTGAAATCTTACAGATATCTTTCAAATATCTACGATAATTTAATAATCAAATATTTAGATATTCAAATATTTTCCAGATGTCTCTGATTTCTGTGTGGAATTTAATGTATAAACATGATTAAAATTTCTATATTGTTTAAGTACAACCGAATGCAAACTCTTTGTTTCGGCTTTCCAGGGAATTCTCGTTGGTAGGCCTGCTCCTAATAGCTATCGGCACGGGCGGCATAAAACCTTGTGTGTCAGCTTTCGGAGGCGATCAATTTATTCTGCCGCAACAAGAACGATATCTGGCGATGTTCTTCTCCCTCTTTTATTTCGCCATTAACTCGGGCTCACTAATTTCTAGCTTCCTGACTCCCTGGCTACGTAGCAACGTGCAATGCTTAGGGGACAAAACTTGCTACTCCCTGACGTTTTTGGTGCCGGCTATTCTAATGATTCTATCTATCGGTAAGTCACAGTGGACAACGTTTTGGAACTTTATCGCTACAACAAAAGTGCAGTTTTTTTATTGATGAGAACTTGTTTTTTCAGTGATATTCATTCTCGGGAAACGAATGTATAGAATAGTGGAGCCCACGGGCAATGTCATCGTCAAGGTTTCCAAGTGCGTTTCCGTAAGTTTCATATCATCACAATTTCAAATAGCTTTCCAAGCGTACTCTCGAAATAATTCTCTCGAATCTCTGATTTCTCATATCTTCGAGCTTAGGATTTTTTCTTTCTTTTTCATCTTTCTCCCTACGGTTTCTCATTGAAAGATACGACTTCAAAATATCTTCTCTTTCTGTTTCGCAAAATGCAGCACGCGATTTATAATAAAGTAAAGGGCAAGAGCGGGAAACGTGACCACTGGCTCGACCACGCCGACGATACGTATGATCATAAACTGATCGACGACATTAAGGTCTCGCTGCAGGTATTGAAATTGTTCATACCATTGCCGGTATTCTGGGCTCTCTACGATCAACAGGGCTCTCGATGGACTTTCCAAGCCACTCGAATGGATGGTCAAATCGGTAGTTTTTTGATGGAGCCCGATCAAATGCAGGTCGTTAATCCGCTGCTGATTCTTGCCTTTGTACCTCTTTTCGAAATCTGCATTTATCCGCTTTTCGCGAAGATACACCTGATCGACACACCTTTAAAGAAACTTGCTACTGGCACGCTCCTGGCCTCTCTGGCCTTCATCGTGACTGGCCTAGTAGATCTGAGACTCGAGGTAAAAAAAAACAATATTTCTTATAGTTGTCGCTACACTTCAGAGACTGTCATTTGAAAAACTCGGCTCTACAACAAATTCTTTGAACTGAACCTCCCGAAGACATACGATTTTTATATATGCATGTGCAATGCTGTCCCATTCCCTAGGCATATTAATATCGAAATTTCGATTTAAGCGATTTAATTTTTTGTATCATTTCTGAATATTCGTGCATCATGACTGCTGATTATTTTATGAAGCGGCAAGGATACTCCAAAATAACAATTATAATGCATAAATATTCAAAAATAATGCACCTAATTCAAAATTTGTGATATTACTATGCCTATTAGAAATAGAGAATAGGACAGCAGTAATGAACGACGCTTACACGATACCAAAGAAAAATTATAACTAAGATGTGTGTTAAACAAAATTCTGTCACTTGATACACATACTCGATTTTAGAAAACATTTCCAGTATTACCGTCAGCAGAATCAGCTCAGCTTCGAATCTTCAACACACTAAATTGTTCAGTGGATCTAACCTTAGGTTCAAAAGTGGACTTAAAAAAGGACCGTTACCATAAATTAATCACCATAAATCCACTAAGCATGTGGGTGGATTTAGATGTGAAGGTGAATGGATCGTTCGAGCTACCCTACACAGCGGATTTCACCAAGTGCAACACGAGCAGTTACACCAATATGCAACAGAGTTCAACAGGTGAATTCATAGTTCTTAAACAAAAAGAATTTAACTTTTAAGCGTCTCTTATAAATAATTTCCTTCATCAGGTTTCAACACAATCAAAGAAGCTATTGCGTCCTCTTGGGTCATAACGCCCGAGGGATTGGATTATCACTACAACGACACAGTGGATAAGTCACGTAGCGGCAATCCAGTGGTCCGCGGTCTTATCTACGTCTCATCGGACGTCTCATCAAACGTTAACTCCATACTGAAATTTGTTCGTAATGGCAATACAGCGGAGTCGATAACGTTCAACTCAAGCATCTTTGTTCATTCGGACCTCAAAGAACTCCAGCCGAGCGAATACGATGTTTTCTTAGACAGCATTCCATTGCAGCAGAATGTCAATTTCAAGTTAGGCGGCGTGTACACCGTGGTTGGCACTAAACGTGAAAACGAGCCAAAGATCGCCGGCCAAATAATCACAGTCACGACGCCTAATTCAATGCATATGATGTGGCTGATGCCGCAGTACATTATCATCACGATGGCCGAGGTGATGTTCTCCGTGACGGGTTTACAGTTCGCTTTCACTCAAGCACCGAAAAGCATGAAGTCTCTGCTTCAGGCAGGTTGGCTATTAACCGTGGCTTTCGGTAATCTTATTGTAGTGATCATATCGGAGGTGTCAATTTTCGATCGACAGGTAAGCGACAGAATTGAACTCGAGGAAGTATGATCAAATGGTCGGGTCGTTGCACTTCTGACGTATTTCTTTTATTGACAATTTTTTATTTTCTCACTTGACATTCTCCTTTTCCAGGCATACGAATCTTTCCTTTACGCTGGTTTAATGCTAATAGACATGCTGGTGTTTACCGTAATGTCTCTATTCTATAAATATGTGGATATACCAAATGAAGAAAACAGTGAAGAAGACATAGCATTGGAAAAGAAAAGTGGAAATGTTAATATTGCTTATAAGGAAGATGAGAACTTGGAGTGACGAATAGCATTGAAACAACGACAAGCAAAGTGTCGTAATTTTTCCTGTGTTCTCGCTTATTCTCCATCGACGAGACGAGTTTTATTATCGTTCGTACATCGAGAGTCAACGTGTTTCTATCGAAAGTCTAGTACGCTCAAAAATGATAGGAACCGTTTTTAACATACGAATCGATTTATCTAATTGAAATTACGTAAAACCTTATTTGTCTTGGGTCCTTCGTATTTTAGTAATAAAACGTGTATTAATCGATAGAAGAATGATAAACTATTAAAAATCTCCATTGCTGAAAAAACCGCCGAAATCGACAAATCGCTTAAAAATTAAGTTTTTTCATTGGATGACTCTAATGAAATGAAAATAATGAAATAAAAATATTATTTAGTACATTTTTCCAACGCTTTAAAGAGTATATCTCTGAACAGTATCTATTTAGAAAATTGTGTCCATGACACATTTTGATTTTCTAACAATATATCCAAATAGCAAAATATATTCAATCTGATCTGATTTTATATTCATAGTAAAAACGTGAGGACAAAAATAAATACAAATATGCTCAGATGTCGTTCATGTCACATAAAAAAATATTTCATCTAATAGCATTAATCATAATCACATCAAAAACACATCATTTGAGAACATCTTGTGCTCAAGTAATGTTAATCACATGTCATGATTTTTAAAAACGTATTAAGTTGAAGTCACATTGTGTGAAATCACATTATGCTAAAATGTGATCATCACTCGTTTCTATCTGGATATGTGTATGTGTGTGTATGTGTGTTTGTGTGTGTGCGTGTTTGTGCGCGCGCGCGCACACACACACACACACACACACACACAACACATATATATATATATATATGTTATGTTAAATAAACTTCATTGTCTTATATTAAGCTTTGTTGTAAAAAAATATATGTATTATAAGTCCAACTTTTAGAAATATTGTAAACCATAATATTTTTACGTGGTCTTTTACCCAGTGGCATGTTTTTATTTTCATCAGATTCTATATCTTGCATTTGTAGTAAATTACATAGGCCGAAGTTTGGTCCACTAAGATGTGCCACTGAGGAGAGGTTCGACATAATTTTTTGCAACTGAAACCGAATCTGGCCGTTTGTCTAGCACGTCAGGATTTTGAAATATTCTAACGTAAAAGTGCAAAAAGGCAATTTTTTTAGATTTTCAGATTATGATAACTTTAAAACAAGGATATCCATTGATTTGGCTAATAGATTCGGATTCTTCATAAAAAATCTACAGAAATGTATGTGTTTTCCAAAACGGTCAAATATTTATAACTGCAGAAATAAATTATATTAACAAATTCCATATTCTTTAACCCCTAGGCTACTGTAGGCGCCTATAGGCGCTTAGAAATTTTGCATTTATGACACTGAGAGCGCCTATAGGCGCTCGACGCAGTTTGGCTTTCTGACACGGAGGGCGCCTAAAGGCACCCAGAAAATTTTATCGATATTTATTCTGATAGATCTTATCTCAGTTAGACGAGAGTGAATGCTAATTTCACTGGTACATATTTCGTTAGTCACCTGCTATTTAAATATTTTAATATTAGCGAAATATTAAAAAAAAGGAAGTTAGACGGAGTGGAGGCATACGCTCCGTTGTGCGTATCGTCCGGAGCAGACAATAAACGAATTCTGAAGACATCACTTCGTACCGTGATAATTATTCTCACCTCATCGAACATAACAAAAGAAGTGAGATACATTACCAATGTATTTAATTAAATGCATTTTTGACCACAAATAACGGACCGAACTAATTTGTACTCCCAGTTTTAGTCTGCGATAACCATTATGCCTCTAGAGCCTTTATAGCTATTATAGTCTATATCAAACTACGGATTAACACATTAAGGGCGGGAGTCGTAGTACTACGATTTAGCTCGACTGCGGCTTAAAGGCGGAAGTCGTAGTAATACGATTTAGCTCGACTGTACCTTAAAGTTTTTATGATCACACAAAATATCGCCCGCTCTAGGCCGAAAAACGAGGCGGGCGGCCGCCGCGCTACCTAGCATATTTTCGTCGAGATCGCCCGCCGTTAATGTGTTAAGATGGAGATTGAATTGCAATTTAACCAATTAGAATAAAGTTCACTGAGGTATAGTGAATCTTGTTCTAATTGACCAAATTTTAATTATGCCCGTGTCACACTATGGATTAGGATTAAGATGGGATTAAAATTTGTTCAATCAAAACATACTGAATTAAACTTGAGTTTAGTGAACTTTATTGATTCGTCGAATTGAAATCCAATCGTAATCCTAATCTGTAGTGTGACATGGATTTTATGTCTGTTACACATTACGAATTGGGGATTGAGATTTTATTGAAATTTGACCAATCAGAACAAAATTCAGTAAACTAAACTTTAGTTAACTTGCTCTGATTGGTCAGATTTCAAGCCAATCTCACTCTTAATCTGTGGAATGACACGTGCATTAAGCCCGTATCAGACTATGGATTGGAGATTGAGATTGAAGTGAAATTTGACCAATCAGTGCTCACAAAATTTCACTAAGCTGGAGTTCAACTAATTTTGCACTGATTGGCCAAATTCAATTTAATGTCAATCCCTAATCCATTGTCTGATACGAGCTTACCAGACTGCGGATTAAGATTATGATTGAATTGAAATTCAACCAATCAGAGCAAGATTTACTAGACTTGAATTTAGTGAACTTTGCTCTGATTGGCCAAATTTTAATTCAATCTCAATCCTAATCCGTAGTTTGGTACGGATTTTAAGATGAAATTACACGGTGCGTAATAGAACTGCAGAATATAGGGTGCGTCATAGAAGTCACCAATCAGCGCTACACTGCTCTTTTCTATCACGCAAATTTTGTGTGTTGATTGGTTGCTTCTATGACGCACTTTCTATTCCGCAATTCTATTACGCACCGTGTAATTTCACCCTTAGACGTAACGAACGGAACGTAGCGAATCGGACCAAGCCGAACATGGTTCGAGGTGAAACGTGAGGCTGTTTCGCGTTGTCTCGTAGATATCGATTGGTCCCGGCGCGGGCTCAAATCGTGTGTCATGCGGCGATTATGAGCGGTGTGTCTCTACGCCACGACAACGACGACGACGAAGCTTGGAGTTGCATCACGTGAGATCTAGTACAGAGGTAAGCTACATCAACGTCATCCGCTTGACCTTTCCGTTTTCAGCTTCAACGCAAACGTCCGCAACGTTTCCTCATATGCATTCCTTTAATTGTCGCACGAATCTCTCGTGGCTGGATGCTGTTCAGCCGAGCTGTCGTCAGTCTCACACTAAGTTCGAGCATTTGACACTTCTATGCGTTCTATCGCATTTATAGTATTCTCCCGAGGTAGCCACGTTCAATATTAGACATGCTGTAAGAAGGTCTCCCGTCGTTATCGAATTTGGTTATCTATCAAGTTATGCTTCGAGGAAGTCGTCATTAATTTATTAATAGAAAGATTCAAAGTTTTAAAAGATTGTGCATACTGGATACTTTGGAATTTATAATTAAGTCAAGTCTCGGATTCAAAGTGTTATTAATTGTGAACAGAGGTACTTTGAAAGAATCAACCTTTATGAATTATGCCTGAAATTGCGTGATATTTCTAAACACCATTACACCATCTTTTTCTATATTGGTTAATTGAATTTGTATTATCATTTATTTGTTCTAGAATTATCAACTGTATTGTTTGAGAATATTGGTACTATATCTTGCTTATAATGGACCACATGATAAGTACAAGTGGATATATTAATATGAAGATGATGAGGCAATCACATATTACCTGTGGTTTTATTTTTCAGGTTTGATATCTGTTCATTTAAATATATCCAGCAAGTAAGACATATAATCCAACATTAATGTTAATTGTCATTAAAAAAAACTTATAGGGGATGATGTGGAAATATCAAAAATTTTGGCTGCTGTAAACTCTCCAGTACATAGTTGAAAGAAAGGAAATCTGAGATGGACTCCCCACCATCATGTTCGCTAAGCGCTGGGCCTCTCAGTGATCTTGGTAGCAGTGGCCTGGGGGGTTCAATTTCCAGTGATTCTGTTCGAGCACATCTTGCAATAGAGGTAGCATACCTTTTTCTCCTCTAGTCACAATCATCGATATGTATTTGTTCTTCCAAAGATTGTGTTATATCAAATGATGCTGCTTTTAGATGCAGGAGAGTGACATAGAGAGCAAATCTCTATCGCAAGATTCTTTTGACTACTCTGACGGCATGTGTGGTGAGAATTTCAATACCTTGAAAAAGGGCCCAGGCTGGAGCGATGCGGACGGCAAGTTAGAAGTCGAAGTAGTTGATGTGGCGATCAAGCCACCACCGGAATTTCAGGACAGCCCGTCGCCACCAGATTCAGAATCCTCATCAGTACCAATCTTGAGCTATGCACGGCTGATGAGACGAATGCCATACTGGATGGATGATTACTCGGAGAGCTTGGTGCAGTCGATGGTGGAGGAGGCGCTGGCAATCTCATGTCGCATCTCCTGGCCGGAAGGGAGGATCGTGCCGGCTACGAACCCGCTGCCAGTTGTGACGCGGGTGCAACAGTCCAATCCTAAACGCATGTGGGACCTGATGGCGTCTCCAGTATGCCAGGGTGCTGCCACCATCACCATCACTCCTTACAACACGCTGAACCGGCCGAATTCGCGCTGCTCATTGGCCTCCTCTAGGCTATCCAGTTCACACAACTCTATTAACACCACCGGGCTTGGTCACAAGGTCGATGATAGCAGTTTCATCACGTCGGCAATGTCGCACGACGTGCTCACCACCAGTGAGATTAGTGATATGTACAACGTGCCGTTCGACTCGGACATCTATACGGTGCCGATCGACGTGGTGCGGCCATTACACGATCTGCGAACGCCACAGCGGCCCAAACGCCACCGGCATCGCAAGAGACGGCGAAACGTGTCCGCGAGTTCGCAGAGTGAGCTGGAGGCTCACATCCAGCAGGCTCGTCATTACTGCGGCAAGTCCCGGGCTATCACACATGTTATTAAGTCGCAGCGTTTGTTGGCCGAGGTATGCTGTAATGACGGCAACATCGGTGTCGGAGCTGGTGGAGGTATTGCTGGTGGTGGCGGCAGCGGAGGCGGTGGAGGTAGTAGCGGCAGCGGAGGCGGTGGAGGTGGCGGCGGCGGCGGTAGTAGCGGTGGCGGTTGCAGTGGTGGTGGTGGTAATGGTGGTGGTAGTGCCGGCGGCGGTGGTATTGGTGGCGGTAAACGGCATAGTGTGCCAGGTACTTCCGGTCGTCATTGCGTTAGGACATCGAATGGACACGCGCACAACATTGGCGAGCCGATTCATATGACGCTGCACGAAGTGCGCCAGTACTTGCAGACGTTGTATTCGAGCTCCAGCGATTCAAGCGAAAACAAAATGAAGCGGGAAAAGGCGCCGTTACTCGGCCACACACCAGTGCATTTAGCTGCAACGCCCAAGGTCCTCAGTGTAAATAACAATAATAGGTAAGAGTAATGCTTCGTGTAATCGATAAGATAAAGAAATTTTATTTCCTTTGAGATAACAAATTTCTGCAGCAGTTTATTTTCTTCTCAGTCTGATTGTGCTGCTTTTAATCTCTCATTAAACTGATTTTGTAACACTGATTCAACAGCATACTAATGGTGTTTGATTGATAGGTATAGCAGTAATGCGCACACAGACTCGTCCACGGACACGCCGGTATCCAATAAGAGTACCAGCAACGGTCTGATGATTCACCATCACAACAATATAACAAATAACAACAATAACAATAACAACCACAACAACAATAACGGTAACAACGTGAAGAAGCACAAGAGGAACGCGTTCGTCGGCATCAGGCATAAGAAGACACGCGACGAGTCACACAAGGAGAAGAGCGAGTCCGAGCGGGAGAAGATCAAGAAGAGCCAGCGCAACTTCTCGCTGAATCTCAAGCAGACATTGTGCAACATTTTCCGATTTCGCCGGCTGGGATCGCCGGATCACTTCGTGGAGAAGCGTAACAGCATTGTGCAGGGCGAGATCGTCGAGGAGGAAGAAGCGGGCGTCGATTCTGATCAGCATACGACTAACAACAACAATACCGCGTCCGAGACAGAACCGTCCGCACAAAAGTTGCCATTTTTCAAGCGCGCGCTGCCTCCTTTACCCAAGAGCAGTAACGGCCAAGTAGGCGTGGAACAAGCAGAGGAGGCCCTCACGGCGATGGTGCCTAAGTGCGAGTCCCCGACCTTGGTTCAGCAGGTCCCGCTGCCAGTTGCGCGACCCGAGGAAGACGCTGCGGAGGACACGAGCATGGACTTTGCCGCTAGCATCGAGAAAGTGAAGGACGTACGTAAGACTACCTCGGATGTTCGCTTGGCTGATTGACGAATAGGTTCAATCAGCAACACTGAAGTCAATACTGAAGTATCGCTTTCTTTGATGCAGTACGGTTGGTACTGGGGACCTATATCCGGCGAAGCGGCGGAAAAGATATTATCCAACGAGCCGGACGGCTCGTTCATCGTGCGGGACAGCAGCGACGACCACTACATATTCTCTCTATCGTTCAGACTCAACAGTTGCGTGCGACACGTAAGGATAGAGCATGACCAGGGTAAGTTGCGTTTCGTGTATCTCCCCATCGTAAAAAGAAACACCATTTATTCGATCTCGTTTCTCTCTTTCTTGATGCAGGTAATTTCAGCTTCGGTAGCTGTACGAAGTTCAAGTCGCACACTATCGTCGATTTCATCGAGAACGCGGTCGAGCACTCACGTAGCGGTCGTTATCTCTTCTTCCTGCATCGGCGACCGGTGCTGGGGCCGATGAGAGTACAACTGCTGCATCCGGTGTCGCGATTCAAGCAGGTCCAGAGCTTGCAGCATACGTGCAGGTTCGTCATCTTAAAGATGGTGCGAAGGGACCTTATACCGACTCTGCCACTGCCACGCCGACTTATCGACTATCTCAGCACGCCTCATTACTATAGCGAGCAATTGGCGACCGAGCAGGACGATCGGGCCGAGTCACCCGTCAGTTCGTCAACCGGCGAGCTGGAGAAGATTTGCTTCACGCCGCAGGGCCTGTCGTGAGATACAGCCACACGACTCTTCTTTCCTACTCCTACTCCGCCCTGTTCTCTGTGCAAAGAGACATTCGCGTCGGACGTCGCTCGCGGCGTTAACGGGAATTTAATTCGCCGCTTGATTAAACTTTTCATGGACATGTATAGAAATTCGCATCATGGCTCGATTGAATTTCTGCCGACGCGCGGAAGTTTAACGTACAGTTCGCTTGTTCCGAATCTTGTCTGACGTACATTTTTCATTGGTCGTCGTGTCAATTTTCGCGGTTCGATTTGATTCACGGCTTAATTCATTTTTGACTTATGCATGAATATTTTGTTACCCGATCGAATTTGCGTTCGTCGATGCACAAAGAGTTTAATGGCTTTATCAAGGTTTTGTCACGCTAGAATTTAATTTGCTGTTAAATCGAGTCTTGATTAACATAAGGGAATTCATTTGGCGGTTTAATCAAATCCGTTTCCATGTAAAAGTGTATAGTTCACGATCAAATGAAATTTTCGCTTACGCGTCAAAATTTAATTCCCGCTCGATTAGATTTTTGTTACCGTCAAGCGTGACGTAAAGTTAATGATTATGCACCTGTGATTTCGATCATTTTGATGGCGTATCGATTCGTAAAATGAGTATTGTGATTAAACTTGAAAGTAGAGGAATTTACGGGGATTTTTCCGGATGTGCACCATATACCTAGAGCTGCAAATTATGGTCGTTTCAAATTGTTTGATTTTTTCATTATCGGAAAAATTTCATTTCATGCTTTCAACACAAGCTACGATATTGCAAAAATTCACTTTGTGCTTATCGCACCGCTGGTATCTATCACGCAGGAGACAACAATTTCTTTCCTTTCTTCGCGATAGTAATTGCACAAAATTATTAAAATATTTTTTTTTTATAAGAAATATTCTCGCGCAAACATTATCTTTTACCTGAAAGGGAATAATGATGAATCATTTATTTGGTTATTTTTATGAATATCATGTTTGTTTTAAACATTATTAAAACACGACATTTAAATTTTTTTCTCAAATTTAGTGTCGTTACTTTTCCTCGCGATTAACAGATGCGATTCTATGCAGCTTGCTCGCAGCTAAGATCGTAACTTAAGATCGATGATCTGTGGAGTATTTTGCGAAACAGGCGATTAATTAAGCAGAAATTTCTCGACAAAATCGTTTCTTGATCTCCTGTCGAATTATATTCACTTTATAATTGCATCTTCGTTAATTTCCACAGTGAAATGATAAGAGACAGAGGAACACTCACCGAGCTGAGTACAAAATCAATTCTGTATAGCCTTTTTTAGTTTAGTTCCTTTCTGTCGACTGTAACGAATGGCAAGATTATATGTGACATAAGCAACGCATATTATCCGTTTATATGTATACATATATACATAAATACATATATAAATATATAAATATACACGTACAGAGAAACACAGTAGTCGGATAAGGGAAAAAATAAGCGAAAACTCCTCTTTGTGTGCCATACTTGCACCTTTTGTCAAAGCTTTCGCGAATTAACGTCGGGATTTAGTTTGAAGAATTATATTCCGTTCGTTGCAGTCAAACTTTCGATTAGACTCGAGAGAGTTGTATCTCCCCTATAATTCAGGACAAATTCGGAGTCGATTTAGTCGATTCAGACTGACTAACCGCCAGATGATTAACTTAATAAGAACGTAGGACTATGTAAGTCGCATTTTGCAATCTTTCCGAAATCTTTCTTTTACGAATCGATTACGCGAAACTACGCAAAAATTATCTTGGCTATAAAAGTTTTTATATAAATATATAAGTAACCAAAGGGACTTCTGACACAATATAAAGGGTAGCTAATGTCGCAATGCGCAACTCGATAATACGTCGCGTTTATTTAACTAGCCAATTCTTCAAACTATTATTAATGTTTAGTTGGTGGGATTCTTAGAAACGTTAATGACTGGTGCTTTGCGACATTATTATTAGTCTTTATTTCGTACAATTAGGATAAGTCGTGCGTTCATTCGTCTTGTGCTGGAACAAGCCTGTAACGCAGCATCGTGCAATAACATTCGGGAATTAATCAGATTCGTGGGAAGCAACGTGAAAGTCCATTAATTCATCTTTATAATTACTTTCTCGTACATCCTTGTGTTTTTCAACTCTGCACTCGCGACTTCGTTATCGGAGTCACATTAGGTCTGTTCGTTTTCGCTGCACCGCTGAACTAGTGCAATAAGTTGAAGTGAGAAAACATATACTTGTCTCGCTTCAACTTATTGCACTGGTTTAGCGGTGCAGCGAAAACGAACAGACTTATTGTTACGTGCTTCTGCAGATTGCGAAAGAGTGACGCGAGATTTCCAAGCTTGTCAGAAGGTAGAAACTTATTCCGACCAATTTTCATCTTTCCATGTTTCCTAGAGCTTAAACAACGTGGCATTAGTATCGCAATAGATCTTCCAAAGGAAAACTCCTGTCGCAACTTGTAACCGAGTGTAATAAGGACACGTTTACTTATACGCAGACTCCCTGTTTCTTTCCTTCATCAACCTTCTCCTTTCTCTTTCTTTTCCTTCTTCTTCTTCTTCTTTTTCCAATATAACGTCGTCGAGAAATGATTTGTTAATTAACTTGCTATTTCGATACAAACGGACGGTAGTTTAAGATACTTTTCTCATGAAATGAGTCATTTGAAAAAATCTGTTTTTGCACTTTGACAAATTGAAGAACACACATACACACGTATATGTATACAAGGCACAAACATACGTACATATATATGTGCATACATATATAAAACACACATAACACGTACATAATACGAATAAATTTTGTACTCAGTACCCACTCGGTAGATTTTGCAATACGATTACTATTAATATTAACGAGAACGTCCAATGGACTAAGCGAATCCTGCGCGAAGGTTCGCGAAGCATGTGCATATAGCTAATGATTAATAACGGCACCACAGTACCTCACAGTCACAGGGGGAGGTATACATATATAGAGCAGAATTAGTAAGGTTTTATAACGAGCGTATTTACGTCGGCATAAGTTGCACACAACACGCAGACACATACCCAGGTCACGTATATACACGACGCGCGTCCTCGCTTCACGAGGAAGTTGTAATTGTTAAGAGACCGTTTTTATTTAGATAAGATTATGTTTTAAGGGTTAGTTGCATTAACAGGCTCGATTTTAACCGATGCGATCGCATTTAATTCTAAAATATAGCGAGCGAGACTCTCAGTTATAACCGCGCGTTAACCTTAGTTTTAATGAATTATATTGTGACATAATAGAGTTTACGAATTAATTTATACGAAAATTTTTTTTTATAATTAAGCGATCGATCTTGGCTGAATACCGATATCGAGCTGATTTGAATTTTGAATTATCTTCAGTCAAGCGTGGTTAGTGCAATCGTCCCTGGGAATTAGTTGTACCTTAATTAATTAACTCTCTATAGACAGAGAAATAGTCTTAGCCGAAAATATATATGAATATAGATAAGATGAAAAGATTTATTTAACCGCAGTTTAGTGCTAACCGACGTTTCTGTTAGCCATAGTTGGTGCAACCGGCTCTAAAAATTACTTGTAAGGAAAACGCAGCGAGTTCCACGCCAAGCGAGAGACCTCCGAAGGCTGCAGCATGTCCGACAAACTATTGCGATAATTGTCACGTAAGAACGCGTGTTTGCATCGTAATTGAAACGTTTAGCGTTTAAACAACCGAGATTACGACGAAATTAGACAATGTAAGGGTAACTTTCACCAAATTGCGTTTAAGTCAATCGACAACTTAAAATTACTATCAGTTAAGTCTTCTCTATTCTAATACAGATCCTTTCTAACACAGATAAAAATTAATTCTTCGATTATTGTTGAACAGAACTGAAAATTCGTCTTTTGACAATTCTTATTATTATTCATCGATTAGCCTAATCAGAGTTTAGTGAAAGTCACTCGAAATCGAGAAGTAGTTAGTCGGCGTTCAACGCTAAATGCGAGCACGCTCGCGGCCCGAGTGAGGCTCATCCAGATAGCTCAACAAATCCCCGTCTTCGATCGTCGATTATGCGTGAATCAGGCGACGGGAGGTGTACGTGTCAAACGTTTTTGTATATTTGTACACACTTTCAACGTTGGCGCCGCGCAGAAGCGATTGCCTTTGAATGTACACTTCTTCTAGCGAAATGTGATATTACTGATAAAGTCGGACGGTCGCGATTAGATCGCCGTTTCGCGTTATGAGCGAATGCTGGAAACGTTTAGACGAATCGAACGTTCACATTGCAGGATGTCCCGTCGCATAATAAAGCTTTCGAAGCGTGACGTAACTTCGCGGGGCACCCTGCGCCACGGAATGTAGCTTTCCGGCCCTGGTTGTGAAAAACGTGGTAAATTCGTTCGATGATCCTCGATCGCGAGAGCTCGATCGCTTGGCGCGGAACATAGAATGTATCCTCTCGTGTATGCCAAAGTATGCAACCGTACCCAAAGTACAGCATCTTCTTTGTATTTCTCATACGATGTTAAAAATACGTAATTTCGCGTACAAAAGTTTTTTACATGATCATTGGTCACGTAAATTATTTATATTTAGGCAGATCCGTGACTCGACAAAAGAATTATTTCGAATATATAGGTGGGAGGACGTGGAGAAGGTGTCAAGAGGATTTTATAAAATATTGAAGAAATATATAAGATGTTGTACTTCGGCGGTACGAAACAGATACATTAAAATCTTATTGTTTTACATACAATTGCCGAATGCTAGTCACAAATACTGCATTTTTTAGTTGGAATTCAGTATTGTTTACTAATAAAATACCAATTTAATGCGAAGTCCTTGTATTTATTTTTGCTGACGTTTGAATCCAAGCGAAAAGGAGGATGGGAATAAGAAAGAGCAAATTGCGAAGGTTCGATTTCAGGAGACGAGCGAATTCATTTGTTGCTATCATATAACACGACTATGAACATTAAAGTGCTCAATATGAGCGACATAATGAAGAATCGATTTCTTCAAGACGTGGACTTGTCCAATTTTTGAAGTCGGATCTATGATTCGACCATGAAAATTAATTATTGTATACGACAAGGTATATTAATTTATTTATTCTAGTCTAATGTACAGGGTGTTTCGCGTAAAGCGACTCGAAGCCATGTGTGTGTGTGTGCGTGCGTGTGTATGTATGTATGCGCGTTAACACTTTGCGGTCCGCGGTCCACCCGAAGGCTTGACCGAAGATGTTTGAACTTATCGAAGGTATAATACGAAATTACCCTCGCTTATTTGGTTTTTTTCTTATACAAATGTTGATATCTAAAATCATCATATCATAAGTTCATCATATGTTTCGATTTATCGATAAAACTAATGTTGTCAAATCGCAATGGCACAGTGCCGTTGACTGACTGCATCGTCGAAATAAGTACGACGGTACCATGCCGTTGATGGGCTGTAACGTCGAAACGAGCGCATCATGCCGTCGACGGACCGCAAAGTGTTAAGAAACATTAGGAACACGAAAAATAATAAAAAGTAGTTAAAAAAGGAAAAAATCAATAGAGAATCCACTTTTAATATGATCGTCCTCGGAATCGAGAGAAACGTCCTTTTCCGAAGAAAATTACTCGACGCTACTCGGACCGAGACGCCTTAAATGGGACACCCTGTATCTTCGTCACCAAGTTCGATTGTCAGAGTGGAATGTGCGCGATAATCAGACGTCTTCTGCGGATTTTTTAATTTTGTAAATACGATATATGCCATATATATATAATACATATTATATTATATAATATAATATTATATATAATATAATATATTTATATATAATATATGCATATATTTGTATAAATAAATATACATATAAGTTCCGAAATTTCTATCAGCGTGTCGACGATCTTTCAATCAACACACTCGCATAATTTCATAGAGATAAAAATAGAATAACTGATTGCGAAAACATGATTCCGTTTTGGCCTTGTTTTCCGCCGACAAAGTTATTAATTTTTCCGAGAAGCATTTTCAGTGAAAGAGAAACCCACTATTCCGCTTATTTTCGAATTCCTACGAAAGTCGTTTTTGTAAATATATAAGTTTCATAATAAGTATCACAAGTGTATCTATTTAATCTGTATCTGCAGAGATATTTGAATTGAGAGTATTCAAAAGGATCTATCGGTTGATAATGCGTTAAGCTTACGCCGATGTACACGCGACTAACGTAACACCATCTGCGAATGTGATAATTACTTTAACATCGCTGTAGGGTAATTCGTGGGATCATTTCATAATTTTAAGTGCTAACACACTCAATCATGTCAATCACGCACCCGAGAGCACAAGAAGCAAATCCTGTCCTTCGTTATCGGTTTGTCAGTGGAATGGTATACGTAAGCGTATGAAGTAATCGCGTAATGTATTTGATTACCCATGTTTGTACTACAATGTTGAAAATAAAACACACTTTTTGAGATTAATATAGCTGACTTCTGCTGCATTGCTGAAGAACCAAGTTCAGTATCTGCGATTCTTTCAAGTTTTGAAAGATGAAAATCTGTAGGATCAATCACGCATTATTCCTCATACGTACACTAAGTGTGGAATAATTCGCACAGAAAGGGTCCGTTTGTTCGACAGATGAAAATTTATTGTTTCGTACAGTATTTTTTTCATAGAAGTTGTGAGAAGCAACATAAAGATAACAATAACTATCATTAGAATTTTTTTCCCCTCCTTTCTGTTTACTTTTTTAAATTGGCTTTGCACATTCTACTTTATGGTGGAATGCCCAGAGTTTTTCTCACCAGTTTCTGAGCAATTTTCTCGAATTCACTACGATCCTCCCTCCACATCTTAGCAGCATCTACGTTAGCACCGCTTTCGTCATTTGGTTCGGCCAGCATACTTACCACACTCAACAATATTTTCTCAACGCTCTGCACCGGACTCCATCTTTCTGCACTGCTTTCATACCCCATCGGGTCATCACCAGGTGCGTGCAGTATACTTATACAGACTCTTCCATCTGCATAAACTAAGTGGAAAGAAGAAAACAACATTTTTGTATACAACTAATAAAATGTATATTTGTATACAACTAATAAAAATAAAAGCAATGATTGTTATTTTGTATAGCATGATATCTTACTATTAGGATGAAACATCTCACAGGTGAACTGCATCTTTGGTGGGCTCAGTGGATAGTCTGGTGGAAATATTAATTTTGCTGGGAATACCCCACCTTCAAAGCATGTTCCTTCTGGACCACTGAAAGTATTTAACTTCTATTAAGAGAATGACAATAAAAACAAATATAGAATATATATAATGACTTTCACAAGAATTTGACTAATCAATGATTCTAAATTGCTGTCAGTCGAGTGCTTCTTTGCTAATAGAAATTAACTGTTTGATTATTGTTGAACGATAAATTATAGAACTGAAAATTAGTATTGTGTGATTTTTATTATTCATCGGTTGATGTGTCATCTTAATCAGAGTTTGGTGAGTCACCCACAGTTTCAAGACTCATGATGATTCTCATCACATTTATTTAACATGTAAACTTAAAATTGCTTTGCCAAGTATATGGAATGACAGGTTAGGACAGTACACAGAATGATGCAGCAGAAAGCCGGTTGATGAAACACGCTCTCTGAGATAAAGGTAAAACTTACGTGATAAGGGCCTCCCATTCAAAGAAATTCTCCTCGTTGATCGGACCGGCAATGATTCCTTCTGGTGGATTTAATGTTAGTTCTGCAAGTAGTTCATTACATGGCATCGATCAGTCGGGTATTATCGCAAGGGCAAGGGGATTGCCGCAACAGAGACTAGTCTCACGTAACAACGCCATTATTAAACGAACTTATTGTAGCGAGCTAATATTATATCGCGGTGTACTAAAAGTGAGTGACTAAAAACTGAGCCTCACGTTTATACTCCGCCATTAACCGCCTGAGCGCTGAACCCGCCATCGTTTTAATTGCGTACGATTGTCAGTTGTGCGCGACGTCGCGGCTTGTACGCCAAGCCAATGAAGAGACTTTCCGATAATCGTCTTTGCGGTTAACCCCTGAACAGAGGCCACCTTGGAGCTAACCTGCTTCTCCGAACCTGTTCACCATTTCTCTTATTCTTATTTTCTTATATAAGTACCAATCACTTTCAGAACAGGATCATTTTCTCCGTTACTCTCTATAGTCAATGGATTTTCTGCAATTTGTAGATTTCTAGTTTATAAGAAATTATCCACTGCCTGACTCAAATCGTTTAATGACGTCATCGTGTCGGAATAACTGTCATTTGGCGAAGTGTATTAACTGATAACGAATTATTTCTATTACGCTCAGGAAATTCGGGTGACATCGAGGAAAAGTAGAAGTTAAGCCGCTCGAACATACAAATGGCGACAGAAGAGCATAAACGTTTATCCGACATCGTGAAAGGGACTCATGCTTTTTTGCGCGCCGAGGCTCAGCAATACGGAGCTGAGGCCGCGTGGGAGCGTCATGTGTCTCGAGGTGACGTTTTGCAGGTACGCTCTGAAAGTCCACTTTTTGAAAATTTCTGGAATTTCAACAATTCATATTCGAATCGTTGTTATATTTTTTCTTATTGTAAGACTTAACGTTATCTTGGCTTTAAGCAAGACTTAAATATGTATCTGTCTTGATTTATTTAGAAAGAAGGGTAATGATAGACACGCCCCAAGCAGCACGTAAACGTTCAAGGAACGTTCGCTTTATGTTCACTTGGGATGTTTATATAATAAGAGTTTCGTTTAAAACCAAAATAATATTTGTGCAACTAGGTGTAAAAGTGACTACTGCCAAACTCTAATTAAGCTAATTGATGATTTAAAATTGCTGTCAGTTAAACGTTGTTTACCTGTTACATTTTGCTAACACAAATAGAAATTATCAATTTTTCAATTATTGTTGAACAGTAAGTTACAGAATTGGAAATTGACGCACGCGTGCGTACTTGCGTGCGATAATTCTTATTATTGGGAGTACAAATTAGTTCGGTCCGTTTTTTTATGGTCAAAAATGCATTTATTTCAGAACAAAATGAATGAACAGATTAATCAAAGTATTGCTTATTGCTGGCTACTACTTTTTCCCACCTCTCTGGCAATTTTCGAATTCCATCTCGAAAAAATATCTCGTCTTTTGAGGCGATCCAAGTTAGGAGCTAATTTTCGATTTCTGCGAAAGAAGTGACCTGGTGACCTGCCAAATCATGCTGCATCCGTCGGAACAACCAGTAATCAGAAGGAGCAATGTCCGGCGAATACGGCGGGTGCGGTAAAATATCCCACTTGAGCGTTTCCAAATAATTTTTTATGACTTTTGCGACATGAGGCCAAGCATTATCATGCAGAAAAATAACTTTATCATGTCTTTGCTCGTATTCCGGCCGTTTTTCTCGTAATGCACGACTCAAACGAATCAATTGTAGCCTATACCGATGGCCCGTAATGGAATCACTCGGACACCTTCATCGAGTAATGCCTCCAATTCATTGTCTTCGAATTTTTTTTGCTGTCCAGAGCGAGGCTTGTCTTCAACGCTGAAATCTCCATTGTTGAAACGTCGAAACCATTCCCTACATGATTTATCAATTGGAACATTGTCACCATAAACTTCTACAAGCATTCGATGCGCTTCAGTTGCACTTTTCTTCCAATTAAAGCAAAAAACTAAAACCTCCCGCAAATGCTGCTTAGTTAACACAAAATTTGACATATTCAACACAGTATAAAACAGGGGTTTTGTATGAAACTCAAAGCGATATAAACTGAATATTATTGACAGATGTCTAACCTCTCTGAAATCACCGAAATCAGCTGTCACTATGAAACATTCATAACAGCCAGAGCCATCTTTTGAAAACGGACCGAACTAATTTGAACTCCCAATATTATTCGATTAGCTTAATCAGAATTTAGTATAAGTCACTTTTGGTTCGATATGAATCTATAATATCAAATAAAACATGATTAGGAAGGAATGCAAAAGAGCAGATTTCATTTAAATTAGATTAATGTATACGAAATACTATCATATTGTAATTCTAGAAATACGCTGCATCCATGCGAGAATTAGCTACTAAATGCTGGACGGAGAATTATCTAAATCCAAAAAATGACACATACTGTAGAATGGAATGGATAAAAACTCAATGTAAGGAATACTTTCTGAACGGTGGCAAAGAGAAGTATGACGAACGGGAACGAAATATAAGCACAAAGATATCTTCGGGCGAGTCAAGCAGTGAAAATTTTCAAATCTTCAATGATAGTCACGGCTATGTGGAAAATAAACTACAAAATATTTACGGGCGGAGAGTATCACTACTTGATGTAGGAAGTTGTTACAATCCTCTCGGTAATGAAGATGAATTCAACGTTACCGCGATAGACCTAACTCCCGCGACAAGTGCAGTACTTCGATGTGATTTTTTGAACGTCATGATCGGAGAGAAGGAAATTCGTTCGCAGGATAAGCGCGAGTTTCGTCAGTTAGCCGTGAATTCATTCGACGTTGTAGTGTTCTCCCTATTATTGGAATATTTGCCGTGTCCGAGACAGAGGTACATCTGTTGTAGAAACGCCTACAACGTGTTGAAGAGCGCCGGTGTATTAATCATCGTAAGCCCGGACTCAAAGCACGTTGGTGCGAACACGAAACTGATAAAATCCTGGAGGTACACGCTGAGCAAATTAGGATTCATGAGGATCAAGTATGAAAAGCTGCGTCACATACACTGTCTAGTGTTTAGGAAATGTGCATGCAAGAACGTGGCGACACGTTGGGCTGATCTGCAGCATTTCACACAGGACGAAGAAAAGTACATATCCGACAGGGAAATTTTTATACCGCAAGATTTTCCAAATATTTGTTCTAAGGGAAAACAAGAAAACAACATATACAAATACGATGAAAGTGATTTAATAAATACGTTCTCCGAATTACCTTTTGACAAAGCATTTTGATAAAATGTGAATATAAAATGTTAATTGTGAAATAAAACATCCACTTTATAACTCTTATACTTATTATTTATTTGTTACTTATATATTCATTCAATATATAAAAGACATAATAAATAAATTTAATTTATCTTACCGTAACCATTTAATAATAATGATATTAAATTAATAATATTAATAAATAAGTATTAATAAAATTAATATACAAATAATAAATATTTTTTTTAATATACTTAGCATATATACGACGCCTCTCTCTCGCTCTCTCAATATGGTTTCATGGCGACTTCGGAGCACTTTCCCAACGCCATTCTAAAAGTGTAAACTTAAAGCGGGAAGTACATACTTTGGTACATAATAACACAATTATATATGCATTAACATGACGCATAAGATAACAAACCAAACAAAGATTTATGTTTCTATCTTCACGATGGAAACGAACGATCCTGATAGGCTCGCCTTCTTATGAGTCATGCATTTTGCACTATGCTGAAGTGGATGCTTCCCGCTTAAGGAATTTATACTCGTGTTTTCTTTCAAGTCACGCATAAATCTTTCGCCTGAGGTCGTGATATGACTAAACGATGGAGTCAGAGATACTTCTATTTCTCAAGTAGTATAACTCAAGGGTTTGCCAGGCATACTACCCATTATAATCAAAAACATAATTCAACAAGCTATAACTTTTGTAAAAATGATGCTATGGAGTTTCAATGCCGCAGACCATAATTGTATTATCCAACTTTAATATAAAGAACCATCAGCCTGAACAATTGACGAAATATTAATACTTATTGGTCGAAAAGACAGAAATTTTCTACCGTCCGGTCGAATATCTTGCACCTACAAATATCAGATTTTTTCTCTTAAAAAATTGGTTGATATTATGTAAACTTTTTGTTCAGATATTGATATGTAGAAAATGCTTACAGNAGCATTTCGGGCTTATCGCGTCCTGATACTATGTGCGCTTTCGATGGTTCAGCTGGTTGTCTTTTTAATTGAACGCGCACGTTCTTTTCCTTGGCTTCCTTTCTCAATCTCTCGTTCTCGCAGATTTCCAAGGCATTTCCGCGTTCTGCATGTAGGTCCATAACATCGCCGATATGTACTGACATCTACTGAAAGAAGGACTGACATCTATACATCTGCTCCAAAGCATGACAGTTGCTTTGCCGTATACTTCGCAAGTAATATCGCTTATTGTCTGTAGTCTCTCGATTTAGAGAATCTACTAGTGAAAATGGTAGGTATTTAATTGATTGTTAAACGTTAATCGTCGAGGGGTCGAAGAGGTAGCCCCGGTGGTGTCGGCAGCGGCCCCTCGTCGGTCATCTCAGAACGAAGGGCGGCGGGGTCCTTTGGTGGTCGACGTTCCTTCCTCTTCTCGCCGCCCCCTTGGAGCGGGGTGTACACTCGGTCGGGGCGCGGGGCTCGCCTCTACCGCGCGCCCGCGACGCGCGGTCTTCGCTAACTCAAAAAAAAATACAAACTACAAAAAAACTAATAACATTAATTCGGCGCGCTCCTATGAACACGCCACTCGCCCTACTATAGGGCCTTCGCCCTTGGGACGGGCGCTCCGAGCCGCCACGTCACAATATATACTATAGTTAAAGTAAAATTATTAAATAGCTTTTAAACATAAGTACTTTTGAAACGCAAATTTCTTCCGGGTTATATTTCACAATAAGTGTAATAATGCGAATTTTTATTTTGAAAATGTATTTATTTACATTTAAGCGATAAATTCATATGAGATAGGTGCGAGCATTTCGGGCTTATCGCGTCCTGATACTATGTGCGCTTTCGATGGTTCAGCTGGTTGTCTTTTTAATTGAACGCGCACGTTCTTTTCCTTGGCTTCCTTTCTCAATCTCTCGTTCTCTTTAACTCGCTTCAAGAAATCTTCGCGGCATTTAGAGTGCGTCAGGTGTTCGATGCGAACGTTAATCCTCTTTGCAATTATACGTCCGCGCACTCTTTTGTTCACAATGACACCCAAAGCATGGGGTGTCACGTTGAATACACGACCAGTTTTACCGTGATATACCTTATATGGCATGCCTTTCTGTACAGCGCCGTTTCCTTTAATGTCGACAATATCGCCGACTTTGTATACTTTCATGTATGTTGATAATGGAATCGTCCCATGTTTACGGAACTTGCGTGAAAACAAGTCCCTGGTGCCTCGCCTATAACCCTTTGAATTTGTCATTGTGATAATCTGTAACAAAGCATAAACACATATTAGAACGACTGATTAAAAGAAAAAAAAATAAACAAATAAGAACTACATATGCGAGAAATATTAAACCAATAACTTTTTTCAACTATATGCGCATGACTTTTAACGTTTGACTGCTATATAGCAATATGTGTTGAGAAACATATAAGAAAACATGTAGAACAATATAATCATGTATAATAATAAATCAATTTTCGCAGTTTTTTTTTTAGCAAAAACTAACATGTAATGAGCGCATTTAATGAGCATTTAACGCGCTTCGTGATTATAAATAGAAAATATTTCTACATTACTGACAGATCTTACGATACATAATTATTTTTCCACACAATTACATACTACGGCATTATCATATATAATTAAAATGATAATTTTTATAAACCTCGATTCGCATAAATAGCACAGGATCATGGAGAAAATTTATTTATCCTTTAAAATCTAACCTAAAAATTTTCCCAACCTTTCTATACGTTCAAGCAGACAAAAAGCAACATTATGATCTTAAGTTTTAAATATTACAAGTTCCCTTAGAAATAATTATTCTCGTCAATGCGCGAGAGATTTTTATAAATGTCGCACAACGTAAAATGCATCATGAAATGCACGTGCCGCAACTGATTAAATCTAATGTAATTTGTCACCTGGTATTTATTCGGTCACGCTGAAAGCAGTTGTAAATCGGTAAACAAAAGTACATACCTTTTAACAATATATAGAGCATATAAATATTGCAGTGCGATCTAAATTTTATAAAATACTATCAAATTACTGAAATACCTCCAAGGGAAACGTATCGCTCCTACGGACAGAAAAGAAATAACTGGTAGATGATCGGATATGTATTTCGCACATGCGCGTGGCTAATCAACATGCCGTTTTTTCATGAGAACTAAAAGTTTATTGGCTACTGCGTTGTTTCTTTCGCGCAATAAGCGTTCAATAACAAGAGGTCGTTCAATCGATATCCGATTCTTTGTTAAAGGATTGAGTATCTTTTCGATATTTCTAAATTTGATTAATAAGTATCAATACTGTTTTTCATTCAATGTTACTAGAGTTTGTCACAAGGCTGCCTTTCAAAATCCTGCTCGACGGGTAGACTAATATCTAATTGACCAATCAGAACAAAAAGAACAAAGATTTCTTTACATTGATTGGTTAATTAATATTACTTATAATATAATATATATAATATAAATACTGTGAAAAAAAAATTGATGTTAAGAAGAATCGAATCAAGAACCTCCGAGAGCAAAACATTTAGCTCGCTCGGCTACCATGCTCTAATTTTACGTCGAACACATTTTGTATTTAAGTTGTGCAAGGGAAGAGGGGCTTACGTTTAAGCTTGGGATGGGAGATATAAGAGATCCTACTCTTTTGCTAGTCCAT